CAGGTTTTAAAGGTAAAACCCAAGAGATTCTCCGAGCACAAACACACTGATATATTCCTGATGAGCTGCGGACACACAACAGAGCCCATTAAACATCTGCCACAGACAACACTGTTATAAACCCTCGCACACATTTACAAACTATGACGAGTGAGTGATAAAACACAGCGCCAGGGTCAGAACCATCATTTGAAGATTTACTGGAAGAGAGTTGAGCTGTTTACAACATGTGCGGTGTTACAGTCGGCGCACAGGGTAAGAGCTGGCAGGAGCAGGATGAGCACGAGAGCCAAGAACTGATCGGACCGAGTTTGGAGGATTCGTCTCGGACTCGAAGCAGAATTTCTGTCATGACATGATTGTACAGAAAAATCTTCTTTATAAAAAAACAACAACTCTTGATTTGGATGACAGCTTTTGTTGGAGACCTCAGAGAACAGGAGGGACATTATTACGCTAAATTCAGGAAGTCAGCGAGGTTCATTTAATGAGATAAGGAGTTTGAGGAATTCTCACAATTATTAGCTTTTCTAAAAAAAAAAAGAACAGTGTACATATGCTGAGCCGAACATTGAAAAATGCAAATAGGTTTTGAAAATATATTGAGTTTTTGGTTACAAAGGAAAACCTGTGTCACAAGCAGAGACACAAACGCAGCACTGCTCATCCTCAAACAGACTTCAGCGCTCAGAGTCGAGTGAGTCATGAATGAATGAACAGGATGGGATTTATGGATCCTCTTCAACAACTACTGTAATGCACTTTATACTTAATGGTCTTAGATAGCTAAAAACTTAATGACACCTCATGCGCTTTTTTATTTACATGAAATTACATGCGCTTAATTTATTTCCATTCTGATTTGGTTCTGAATGCTAGCTGCCTATTCATAGTGACAAAATGTGACTTTTGAGACATGACTGAGGCCAAAAACATAAAGGAAGGAAGGAAGGTGGTCAGAGCTGAGTTTATCAATGTGACGCTGCTGCAGCTGTTTCAGGTCCAGCCTGAGTGTGCAGCTGACATGACTGTGGTTGGAGATTTGTTTAAAAGACATTTCAAACATTTTGAAGTGTGGTTCTGTAGAAAGGCTGTGAATGATCCCACCTGTTGAAGACGACCTTTTCAACAGCCTCAGTTTGGAGAAACAATTTACCAGTTCTGATTGGACTGATGAGCAAACATCTAGTCTGGACACATTCAAGACCATTTAGGGATTGTATCTTAAAACAACTCAAATCTTACTCTTATTTATCTCTTTACGTGAATGTCAGTTTTGATTTACACCTTTATTTAGGCAGAAATGTGATATTATTTCTGCTACTGATGCTATTTGCACTTGCAATTAATCCTTCAATTATATGTTTGAACTGTGAAACGCAGCTGGTCAGCAACGACTCTGATGTTGATTAACATCCACCCAAACGACAGAACCAAGAATTATAACAAAAAAAGGCAACAAATCCTCACAGCTGAACAATTAGAAATACTGATTCAGAAACACAAATCCAATGTAAAGCTAAACCAGCACTCACTAATGTAGAATCAGCTGATCTATTTTCAACAGGACAAGTATTAAAATGCTACACACAAATCTGATTAGATCATGTGATGAAAAGGAAAATATGATTCACCGAAAACAAGACGTCTTCCTAATTTACTTCTTCTTCTGCAACCTTTGTTGCCCGTGTGCAAGCTTTCTTTTTTTAGACCAGTAGGTCCTCTAGTCAGGGTTGCAGGGTTGGGACCCCATTTGACGTCATAATACACCAAGTTAAGGGTCTTGTGAAGATTTACTGAAATATAATTAATATTAAAAAAAATGTTTTCTAATAGCATATTTAGCCACAAGTATTACAAAGAGGTTAAAACGGCAGTTATGACGACCATTTAATCGAATGATGTACATTTATAAAACAATATAATGATTGAAGAGGCGCCTAGTTAAATGACTAGCAATTTTTGTATACCGGTACTTTAACCTGTGACCGTCTGGCTCATGAGTTTGTGACTTATTTTTGTGGGTTAAACGCTGAAACGTTTAGGAGACGCTGTATTCAAAGATGTGAAGAACTCCTGAAAGCTGCTAGATGGTAAAATCGAACAGCCATAGTACTTTTATTGTTTGCTGAAATTGCTCAGAATCCATATGCTTCAGGTGGTTGTGGATCAGTGGTAAAAAGTGAATCTAATTAAACTACTGGAGGTTTGATCCCCAGAAGAAGCACCCTGGAGCCCTCAATATGTTGGATGTTGTCATGATTGAGAATAAAAGCCCTGCAATCTGTAGATGCTAGATGAGGTTATAAATGTACTAAACCAGTGTGAACTCATGGAGACAAACAACATATAGGGACAGTAGACTGCAGTCCTGAACAAGAACAAGCAAACTGAACTGTTTTGTAAACGAATTGTGTTGAAGCACTGCTGCAAATAAAAACCTCAAGTCCAACATGTTATCATCGAGCTTATGTCTAATCATACTCCACGACAAAGAACATGCGGGATCCATAATTATTTACATTCACTCAGCAACGCTGCAAACAAACTTTAGATTTAAATACGAGGTGGTTGATAACAGTGTAAAACAACACAGAGCTTAATTCAAAAAGCGTTCAATACAAAAACAACTGGACTTTATTTGTAACAGAAGACGTTTCGCTCCTCATCCGAGGAGATTTCTCAATTCAAAGAGCAGAGAGTGAGAGATTCAGGTTATAAGGCTGAGTGAGATAAGACACACACACACATAAGCCACACACACACACACATATATGTATATTGGCAGTTCACACCTAAAACCTAAAACAGTAGGTCTTTGTTCCTCTAATTCACAGACGAGGCCCCCTCTGTTCCCATCAGGTGTGAAAACCGGCTGGGGATCTGTTTTAAAGTTGCATTATATGTTTTTGAAAGTGGAAATCTGAGGCCTCCTCCTCTGTTAAGAGACGGTTTTTCTCTTTTTACATAAATTGCTTCCTTCACCCCCCTCTCAAACCATCTGTGTTCTCGGTCCAAAATGTGCAAATTTTGGTCCTCAAAAGAGTGTCCCTTATCTGTGAGGTGGAGGTGAACTGCGGAATTTTGTCCAGAGGAGCTGGCTCTCCTGTGTTGAGTCATGCGTCTGTGAAGAGGCTGTTTAGTTTCTCCAATGTAGAGGTCTGGACAGTCCTCGCTGCACTGGACCGCATACACTATACCACTCTGTTTGTGTATGGGTGTCTTGTCCTTAGGGTGGACCAGCCTCTTGTCTGAGAGTCCTGCTGGGTTTGAAATGTACTGGAATCTTGTGTTTGTTGAAGATCCTTCTGATGAATTCCGATTTTCAGATGGTTTGAGAGGGGGGTGAAGGAAGCAATTATTGTTTCCATCTTGTAACTTTTGGTGAAACCAAATGTTTTTAACTGATCAAAGTGAAAGTGGTTGTCACGCTGATAAGGTACTTACTCTCTTCAGGGGCACCGTGCTTCTGAACCAGTTATAGTCGGGAGACACTTTAATCTCTTCCATCTGAGGACACAGAAGCAGAACTACTTGAAGCGGGACCCCTCCTCTCGCTGCAGTTAGCTAGCCCCTACGCTGTTAGCCGAGCTGCTAACTTTGGAGCAGGTAGCCGTAGCGACATGAACTCACCGTGTCGAAGCACGACTTCAGGCCACTGCCGGCGCGCTGCTGAGGGGGGAGGTTTGGTCACCGTGTGCGATAATGTTTATCCATTTCGGGATGGCATTTTCTCCGGCTGCTGCTTGCTTGGTCATATGACTACCGTGCGGTTTCACACACTTCCGCAAATCTTCTGCCGCTGCTCACGCGAACATTAAAGGTTGCATTTAAGAGCATCACGAAATTGAGAAGCCGACATGGAAAGCACGCGAGTTGTGTGCTAAAGATTTCCTTACTTTACCGTTAAACAAACAAACGCTTGTTAATAGTAGTTTGACTTATTAAATTACTTTTATATAAAAAAATGCGTTGAGTAAAATGAGCGACTGGTGCTGTGTGTATTGCTTTTTTTTTATAAACTCAGTAGCTATGATATTTAATATTACCTTACCTTTTTGAATGTATATTAAATGCCAAAGTCACAATAAAAAAAAATCACAGCTGAGTGTAACATAAAAACTGCCAGGTCGTTGTCGTTTTATAACTTCTCCCCCGTTCCCCAGTCAGATGAAATTTTCAAACCCCAGATTTCCAGTTGTAAGTGAATGCAGCATTCCTCTCGGTCTCGGTGCTGCTCACTGGCTGGATTCAGCTTTAGAAAGTTTACCAAAATAATCACAAAACACAATAATCTAAAAGGAAAAACTAACTTTTTTTTGTCCCCTAATTTAGCACACGTGAGAGTAAGCGTTTATCTTAAAACACTACACATTTTTTTCCCTGAATGTCAGGGACATTAGCATACTGTGACCCGAAAAACATGCGAGCATAGTAATTTTAGTCTTCATTCCTCTGTTGTAGTTTGTTTTTAGACTTGCTATAAACATTTTGCATTTTTACATATCCAGCTACTCCATTTTCTAAAACGATTGACAACATGACAAATTTGGACACCCCAAGAGGATTGTGTTAAGACTTTGTTCTTCCTCTTGCAAAACCTTAACTTTTTGGAGCCATAAATGACATTAAAAAGAGATTTTGTCCATTTGTTAATTTCTTTGGGCAGAATGTACGTGACTTTATTCACAATAACATTGAAGCACATTCTGTGGATGAAAAACATGCATAAAACAATTCTGAATGCCAGTACCTTATAAATAAACCTGGCAAAATCACATTTATTGTAGAAAATACTCTGGAAAGAAGCCAAGCTTTGCTGTTTTTTTATTTTTATTACAATGAGGTCAAGTGTTATATTCGGCCAATTAAGACTCTGATAACAAAAAGGCACTAAAACCACTGTGATATGTATCATTGTAGCATTTTCCCTGTGTTCATTTTCCTGTTTGTTTATTTTATTTCGGTTTAGATTGATGTCTTTATATGTACAGTACAACAATTTCTTCTCTTTTAATGAAGACCTTTTACTGCAGATAACGTTAAATAAAGAACTTGTTTGTAATTTGTTGTGTCACCAGCAGGGGGCAGCAGGGCACCATGAAGTGACTGAACTGCTTCAATTTAAAGAAGAAGAAGAGCCAAAAAAACAAAAGAAGAAGAAGAAGAAGAAAAAAACATGGCGATAGAGTTTAGGAAAACATAAAGTAGTACTTGTTTTCTTAGTTACAACAAACCTGTTTCGTGGAATACAGTTGTTTTTGTAATCGAGTACATAGCATTGTTACATATTCCGGTGTTGTAGTCTGTGGTATGCAGCTGATATCCGCCAACAACGTAAAGAGGAAGAAGGTCGCCGCATAAACACGGAGTGGAGCTGTGTTAGCTGCACCGTGTGTCTCACAGCATGGATAATTCCTTTCAGTATGGTCAGCCAGAAACTTTACAGCCTTCTGCTTATAATGGAGGCTATCTGCAGACACAACACACCGAGCAGCGGGGTCTGCAGCCAGACCCCAGCGCCCCATCGTGGACACCTCCACCTTTCCAGTACGGACCCAGGTACGACTTTCCCACTCCTCCATCTGGTGGAGAGGCTTTTAGGGGACCTCGGTATCCAAATCAGTATAGCTTTGACCCTTCAGTCCCTCCGCTTCCCTTGAACTACCCTTCACCCGGACACCACCCGGGTATGGCGCCCCCCGGTCCGGTAGACCCGTACAGCAGCACCGGAGTCTCCACGTTTCAGGCTTTCTCCTCTCAGCTCGGCTCTGCTGCTCCTCCCAGGTACGAAACTGTGTCGGAGAGGCAACGTCAAGATCACCATGAGGGGGGAGATTTTTACTGGGCTCCCCCGGATCCACCTCAGGACCATGGCTGTAGCTCAGCAACACACCCAGAGGATGAGGACACCGCGCAGAGGAGGCAGGACAAGCAGTGGCTGACGTGGTTTTTACAGAGCAGAGGTACGACAACCAGGAGCCCACAGACCCAGCAACAACAGCCAAACCCCATCTCTGTCTCCGTCTTTAGAGAGACCCTGTACGGGTCAGCACAGCTGGTCGCACAGCTGGAAGAGTTCTGTCACAGTCTGAAAGACAACATGCATGATGACAGTGTGTGGGAAGACTCCTATCTGCAAGCTTTATATGTGAAGGAGGAGCTGCAGGAGAAACTAAAGCTGCTCAGTGACGCCCAGTGTTTACAGCAGCTGAAGGTTAAAGTGTCCCGGGCTGCACAGAAAAGGGCTCGACGCCTGAGGGCCAGGAAGGAGCTGCAGATGGAGAGAAAACGGGCCGAGGAGCGCTGCGCAGAGAAGGAGGCTGCCATAGATAAGTGGAGGATGAGACGAATACAGCAAGTGGAGGAGAAGAAGAAGGCAAGAATGCCTCTTTTTAAGTGTGCTACATAAACTGCCATGAGAGGATGAGGAATATCAATGCTTGCTTGTGTTTTAGGAGCATGAGCTGAAACTGGCTGCAGATGCTGTTCTGTGTGAGGTGAGGAAGAAGCAGGCGGATGTGAAGAGGATGCAGGACGTTCTGAAATCTCTGGAGAAGCTGCGCAAGCTCAGGAAAGAGGCAGCATCACGGAAAGGTGAGAGTTGATGGTGATTCGGCATTCAGGATTTTTATAAAACAGCAGACTTCATGCCAGCAAAACAAGATACATTTAATTGTTCTGACTGTGAGGAAAAAGCCCAAAACTTTTTTATTTTTCAATTAAATGGTTGAGCTGTCAATCTAAATTTTGGGTTAAATAGATAAATAAAAATTAATTACGGTACTATCCATCCATCCATTTTCTTCCACTTATCCGGGGTCGGGTCACGGGGGTAGCAGCCTAAGTAGGGAGGCCCAGACTTCCCTCTCCCCAGTCTCTTGGTCCAGCTCCTCCGGGGGAATCCCAAGGCGTTCCCAGGCCAGCCGAGAAACATAATCCCTCCAGCGTGTCCTGGGTCTTCCTCTGGGTCTCCTCCCGGTGGGACGTGTCCAGAACACCTCACCAGGGAGGCGTCCAGGAGGCATCCTAACCAGATGCCCAAGCCACCTCAACTGGCTCCTCTCGATGTGGAGAAGCAGCGGCTCTACTCAGAGTCCCTCCTGGATGATTAAGCTTCTCACCCTATCTGTAAGGGAGAGTCCAGACACCCTGCGGAGAAAACCCATTTCGGCCGCTTGTATCCGAGATCTCGTTCTTTCGGTCACAACCCAAAGCTCATGACCATAGATGAGGGTAGGAACGTAGATCGACCGGTAAATTGAGAGCTTTGCCTTTTTCACCACAACAGACCGGTGCAGCACCCTCTTCACTGCAGACGCTGCACCTATCCGCCTATCGATCTCTCGCTCCTTTTGTCCCTCATTCGTGAATAAGACCCCGAGTTACTTAAAGTCCATTGTGATACTTAAACATAATTACGGTACTACTTTCGCTTTAATGTTTATTTTATTGCTGATGAACATTCTGAAGCAAACGTTTTATGTGTTTCACTTTCTGTCAAACCACATCCATCCCTGCATTTTTAGTCCTCCAACACTTTCCAAAACCGTTTGGAATAAAGCTAAATAACTATTTGAAAAATAATAGTGATGTTCAGAAGTGATTGTAATGATTTGGTTCCTCAAAGATTGATTATTTCAGGATTAAAATTTGTCAATTAATTTCTAATTTGACAACAAATCTGCTGGAAAATTTGTTTAAAACAATTTTTTAATTTAGCTAATTCTGCTCCTTATTTGGTAAAAGTCGGCCAGGGTTTTATTAGCAGGAGGTGCAGGATGTAGATTTTGTGTGACAATCTGAGTTTGTTTTTAAGGTATCGACACCGAGCAGCAGTGGGACGAGACGTTCAGCAGCATACTGGAGCAGCTGAGGTGTGTGATAAAGAAGAGGACAACGCTCTACTCTGCAGAGGAGAAAGCTCTGATGGTGATGCTGGAAGGAGAGCAGGAAGAGGAGAGGAGGCGGGAGCAGGAAAGACGAGTGAAGAAGGAGAGAAAAAAGCAGCTGGAGCGGAAACGCAGGGTGGACTCCATGCTGTTTGGAGGTATTGGCTGGTCTATTATGGCTGTTGGTATCCAGGGTTTCTGCGAGAGCATTAAAAAGCATTAAAAGTCAATAAATGCATTTTGCAAATCTTAAGGCCTTAAGTGACATTAACAAAGCATTGAATTGGAATCTCAGTTGTATTACCTTACTCATCAGGGTGATGTATTAGTGTTACATTAGAGTAACACACAAAATCATAATTTCTGGACGATTTGTTTGTAATTGCAGGAATATAATGGGATTTAAGGGAAAACATGAAAAGTTTAGGAGCAGAGACAAAATGGATCAATTCAAGCTTCAGCTAAAGAGACTGGAAGACGGGGGATTTAGGGCCTGGCTGCAGAGAAATTTGCTTTAAAACTAAAAACAGTTGTTATGGTAGACATGTGAAAAGGGTAAGCCGGTGTGGCAAAAAGTGATCAGCTGAAGTGGAAACGTGCACAGCTGAGTGTCTCGCTTGGTGTGGTTTACTGTTTCTGCTGCTTCAGTTCTTAAACAGTTATAACACTAAAATATGTATATTTTTAAAGATTGCAGCAAAGCTTTGTCTCCATTTAACTCCCCTCCTCCATAAATAAATAAAAAAGCAACTTTATGCTCTCTCTGTGAGAGCGTCAGTTTGAAGCACTGTATGTATTCTTCATCATAAACATCTGCAATTTTTAATTGTACACAGGATCAAAGCAAAATAAACCAGGTAAAGTGTTGCAGTATTAAACAAGAACAAAGGGATTTATTACCAAAGTAATATTGATGATCAAACAGCAACTTAGTTGAAAAATCTAGTTAACCACAGAGAGAATCAACAGACTTCATAGCCCCATAAGGGATAAGTAAAAAGAATGTGTTCCCTCATAGTTTTTGTGCTAACTGTGGCTCTGAGGTATCAGAACAAATACCCTGCCATCATGAAGAGCTACAGATCGAATGCACCTCCTTTATTTTTTGTAACTGAAAGTGTGAATTTTTGCACAAACTCTTCTGTCGTCTGCCTCAATCAAATCAAAGGGACATTCAGTACTGAAGTAGGGCTTGACAAAATCCTCCTATCTATAATTTCACATAGTTTGATCATGTTTTATCTGCTAACTTCCATTTTATGGACTTTATCCAAGGTAAATATAGATTAATCAGTGTTACATTGTTTATTTGTTATATGCAGGTTAACACAGGATCAACAGTACAATGAAATGTTCAGGATGAGAAGAACCGACATGACTCGCTAAAGAACAACCAAGAAGTGGTTTCTGATCATCCTTCTGCACACTTTCGTTTTCATTTGTCCACACTGTTGCACTTCATAAAACACATATTATGTCGAATGTTAGTATTAGTCCAGTATAAAGTTCTGAGTTCTGCTCCATGCCTCTTTAATTAGTTAAGTTAGTATAACCTTAATAAGGTAGAATTATCAGGAAATACTTTTTAAGGCACATCATTTGATTATCTTCTGTATAACAAAAAAAAAAAAAGTGTAATAGTCTGTCAGTTGCATTAAAATGGCATTTTACATAACATGCAATTTATGCATGCATTGTCAGTGACAATAAAAATGTTAAAAAATGGCATTAAATTAGCTTGGCTGCTGTATGCTGAAACCCTGCCATCATTGTTGTTTTGTGTTTTGGCAGAAGAGCTCCCGGCTGATTGTGTCCTGCAGCCCTTCTTGGAGTATTACAGCCAGGCAGACCGGTCCCTGCCGGCTTTGATGCAAATCAGGTTTGTCTTCAGCTTCATGCCTCATCAAAGAATCAGAAAAAACTTGAAACAGGCTAGAACATGCAGCTCAATAAGATTCAAGGTGAATAAAGTTTGTCAGTGCAGTAACAAAACAAGACGCCAGCTCTAACCAGAGTCATGTTTGTGTGCGTGCGTGAATTATATTCCCATCTGGAATCAGCACCAGAGGGCATACGTGGTATCACTTGGTGTTTGTGTTATCAGGCAGTGGAAACAATGATGGAGTCACCTGACTCACAGGATGTTACAGCAGTGCCAGTACTTTGTTTTTTACATAGGAGCCCACATTGTGGGTCTGTGAGAGGCCAGGGCGTTGTATTGTGAAAATGTTTGTCAGATGGGGTGTACAGATTGTTCCTGCTGCGCTTCGTGTCGTCCTACATTGTGTCTTTGCACACGGCACCAGTCACTCTACAGGCTCACCGACCCACGTGCGCTCAACCTTTCTTTCATTTTTCATCATTAAGCAATTATCAGTTTTATTTCTAACGTTTTAAAATGCAAGTGTTTTTTCAGTGAAGTAGTTCAGTTCATTCCGTTGTTTTAGTACACAGAACCAGAGTTCCATATCTGTTCACAGCAGAAGATGGAAGCAAACATTCAGTAATTCTTCTGAACTTCCAGTACAGCTGGGTGGAAACTGAACTTTAGTGTCAGCAGCTGAACTTGAAGTAAACCAGAACCCTGAAACTGGTTCCAGATGTTTTTAATGTGTACCTGTGGTTTCCTTTCAGGAGAGAGTGGGATATGTTTCTGGTTACAGCAGATCATCCGGACGGTTCTTCAGTTCCTCAGAGCTGGATCCTTCCAGACCCCCCCTCAGACCAGACCTGGGCTTCTGCCCTGCAGGCTGCTGACTCTGACTGTGACAACCTCTGACTCTTCCTGCTCTGTTACTCACAGCTGGGCAGAAGCTGCTGGTGTGAAACCAGCTGAAGATGACAAGACCGAACTGAGCGGGTGTTGTATTTCCATCTCCTGAACGCACAAAGATGGAGGACAAATTCCTGCCCTCACTTTAGTCCTTGAGTTTGTAACAAACAGTCTGTAGTATACTAAGTCGTTTTTAACTTGTACAAAGGATGTTTCATGAGAAAAGCAGGGAATAAACATGTTTTCTGCTGCGCCTTTGAGGTAAATCAACGCAGCTACGTTATGAATTTATTCTATATGTTTATTTACTTCAGAAGGGTTTATTCTCTCAAATGTTTATTTTGTTGTCGTTCCGTGAATGAATATAAAAAAAAAAGTGATACATTTTCTCTCTTTTTAAATAAAAAACCTTTGCAACACTGTTCTCAAAGTTAATACGTCTCGGCCTCACACACTCGGGCTCCTTCCCCATCAAAGAGGTGATATTCTGTGTCTTAAGAGGCAGCTTCAAAAGCAAAAATGCTGTTAGGATCGGGGCACCTTTGTCTTGTGCACACTGCACCTGACCTGTATGGCCCCTCCTGCAGGTGGTGGGCTACAGAAAGATGAACCCATGCAGTTCATTAGGGCTGAGCCTGACCAGGTGTCATCGTTAAGGGGAGTCTGCATACTTGGCCTGTCACCTTCAACCAATCTGCCTTCAGAAAACCTGTTGAAGGCAATTGTTCCTGACAGCTCAGCTCCTCGGATCATTCAGGCACACCAACACCTCCACCATGGTGATAAGGTGGAACCACCAATTCACTGGTGGAATTGTGCTATATAACGTTAAATTAGCTCTATTTCCATTGTTTTTAATGAAAATAAAGATTGTTATTAATCAAATAAGCTCAAATGTTTGTTTTTTTCAGTTATGTACCAAAATGTAGTTTAACTAAATATTACTTTGTTTTTGGTGTCATGAAGGAGGCTCTTAGATCATCTGCTCAGGAGTATGTAATGAGTTCATCCTAACAAAGATGTTCCACAAACTCTTTTGTCTTAACAACATCCCAGATTGTAAAACCATATAAAGTAAACATTGATGTGCTAATGCTATTTATTTTCTTCAGTTTCCATTATAACAAACTGCAAGAACCGTCCAAATGATATTTCTGCAAAAAAGGGTTTTTAGTGGTGTTTAAAATAATTTTTGAAGCTTAAGATGTTACGTTTTGACATGTCAAACAGAGTAAACTAGTTTTAGCACTTTTCTTTTCAACCGCTCAATTTTTTTTATTTATCTAAAAACAGAAACTGAATGCGAATTAAATAAATTGACCATAAATGGCTTAAAACTTGTTTTTTGACTGTCACCCCACTGCATTTACTGCCTGTTGGTGGACGTGTCAGTGCTGTACATGTACAGGTGCTGGTCATAAAATTAGAATATCATGAAAAAGTTGATTTATTTAAGTAATTCCATTCAAAAAGTGAAACTTGTATATTCATTCATTACACACACACACACACACACACATATATATATACAGATATATTTCAATTTCTTTTCCTGTTGATGATTATAACTGACAACTAATGAAAAACTCCAATTTCAGTCTCTCAACCAGTCAGCTAATTAACTCAAAGCACTTGTAAGGCCTTGAAATGGTCTCTCAGTCTAGTTCTGTAAAATACACAATCATGGGGAAGACTGCTGACTTGACAGTTGTCCAAAAGAGGACCAGTTACACCTTGCATAAGGAGGGCAAGACACTGCTGTCATTGCTAAAGAGGCTGGCTGTTCACAGAGCTCTGTGTCCAAGCACATTAACAGAGAGGTGAAGGGAGAAGAAAAAAGTGTACAAGCAATAGGGATAACCACACCCTGGAGAGGATGGTGAAACAAAACCCATTCAAAAATGTGTGTGTGTGTGTGTGTGTGTGGGGCGGGATTTCACAAAGAGTGGACTGTAGCTGAAGTTAGTGCTTCAAGAACCACCACGCACAGACATATGCAAGACATGGGTTTCAGCTGTTGCAGTCCTTGTGACAAATCACTCTTGAACAAGAGACAGTGTCAGAAGCATCTAACTTGGGCTAAAGACAAAAAGGACTGGACTGCTGCTGATTGGTCCAAAGTATGTTTTTTGATGAAAGTAAATTTTGCATTTCCTTTGGAAATCAAGGTCCCAGAGTCTGGGGGGAGAGAGGAGAGGCACCGAATCCACGTTGCTTGAGGTCCAGTGTCAAGTTTCCACAGTCATTGATGGTTTGGGGTGCCATCTCATCTGCTGGTGATGGTCCACTGTGTTTTATGAGGTCCAATATCAATGCAGCCATCTACCAGGAAGTTTTAGAGCACTTCATGTTTCCTGCTGCTGACCGACTTTATTGATGCAGATTTCATTTTCCAACAGGACTTGGGACCTGCACACAGTGCCAAAGCTACCAGTACCTGGTTTAAGGATCATGGTATCCCTGTTCTTAATTGGCCATTAAACTCGTCTGACCTTAACCCATAGAAAATCTATGAGGTATTGTGAAGAGGAAGATGTGAAACATCAGACCCAACAATTCAGAAGAGCTGAAGGCCACTATCAGAGCAACCTGGACTCTTACAACACCTGAGCAGTGTCACAGACTGATCGACTCCATGCCACGCTGCATTGCTGCAGAAATCCAGGCAAAATAAGCTCCAACTAAGTATTGATGCTGCACATGCTCATACTTTTCATGTTCATACTTTTCAGTTGGTCAACATTTCTAAAACCCCTTTTTTTATTGGTCTTAAGTAATATTCAAATTTTCTGAGATACTGAATTTGGGGTTTTCATTAGTTGTCAGTTATAATCATCCACATTAAAAGAAATAAACATTTGAAAAATATCAATCTTGTGTGTAAAGAATGAATATAATATACAAGTTTCACGTTTGAATGGAATTACTGAAATACCTAAACTTTTTCATGATATTCTAATTTTATGACCAGCACTTATAGTGCTGAAATGATTTATTTACAAAATGGGTGTCTGTAATGCAGTTGATGAACTATTTGCCTCTTTTTGGTAGATATACTGTCTAATCCTTCTACTTAACTTGAATGTGTGTGTGTGTGTGTGTGTGTGAGTGTGTGTGCAGATGATGTGGTTCTTGAAGGTTAGTGGATTAGTGATCCAGGTGACTGAACCTCCTGAGTGACGCTTCAGTCTCAGCTTCACACACAGACTGACAGCAGCACCGACAACCCACAGGTGAGATCTCTGACTCTAAAACCCTCATGCTGTTCTTAAACACAGAAACATTAGGAAATGACTGATGGATGAGAGCACAGGTAATAATGTAAAGGAGCATTTTATCATTCACCTACTGAATTTATCCTTTTATATTGTGTTTCTAAGGAGCCAAATAGAGAACAAACAAATTGTTTTTGTGACAAACTGTATAAAGTGTCATATTTACTTATAGTTGAATGTTATGTGTAGATATAAAACTGTTTTATTCCTCATGTTAGGCATTTTCTGTCTCTCAGGGACTCAAATTAGTTAAAAGTAGCATTTTTTCAAAAATGGCCACATTTCCTAGACTGAGTAAAAAAAAAGAAAAAAGAAGAAGCAATTCATTTCTTAAGATCTTCAGAGTATTGCTCAGGAGCACTTTCAATGAACTCAAACACAGCCTTTAGAAGGTGAACACACAGAAATGAGTGACTTTAGAATTTTTTAACATTACTGTAAGTAAAACCTTTCACTGGTTTGACTTTAATGGTGTTTTCCCGGTAGCATTTGGATGAAAATGCATGTCAGAAACACAATAAGATTAAGAAGCATCTGTCTTCTGTGCTGCAGGAAGCCCTGGGCCATCTGTCTGCCCTGAGTTTTAGTCTTATTAACTCTGAGTGGACAGAAGGAGCTGAGGCTGAGCAGGCGGCCCTGACGCCACCGAACATCTTTACTATTAGTCAAACGCATCACTTTGTGTCTGACAGAGACCATCTGCTCACACAGAACCTGAGGAAACACAGGTCTCTTCTTCTATCTGTTGTATTTATATCCACATTACTTCTGACAGGGGGATGCACTCACATGTGCAGCGGGCTTTGGATCTTTCCCTGCACGTGACCCACTCTTTGTTGTGCAACCGATATAAAGATGTTGTGGTGCAGGCAGACAGGATTTCTGGGAAAGTAAATCTGATTTAGACTCCAGCCTTTCTCACTGCGCTCATGCACGTAGTAGAGTGCACATCGTCTGCGATGGTTCCCTGTTTGTAGCTGAACTCCCGTAGAAGTCTAAACAGGAGCACGGACAATAAAATACAAGTTCAGTTTCGCACACACAAAATAAAAATGCTGACACATTTGAAATATTTAGGTCACTTAAATTAACATTATATTTTTATTTAACATCAAGAATGTTGGTGTGTCGCTCAGTGATGCTGAGCCTGCACAGAAAAATGAGTAATGAAAATGGATGGATGGGTAGAATTTTAACAATTTTAATAATAATAATAATACTTATGAAGCCCTTTAAAACAACCACAGCTGCAACAAAGTGCTGTATACACATAAAATCAAGAACATTTATTAAACACATAAAAGAATAAAACAGGTCAAACATTAGTATCAATAAAAACAATTAAACAGTAGTGCAGAGTTCAGGCTGTGCCATAAGCCAGGGAGTAAAAATGTGTTTTTAAAAGCTTTTTAAAAATGGACAGTGAAGGGGCTCGTCTGATGGGAAGAGGGAGATCGTTCCAGTTTTGGTTATTACAGTTCCATCAAAAGTGTGACCTAATGTTTTCAAATGTGCCAGCAAAACATATAAACATATATATATATAAATATATATTTGACATCTGGAGCCTCATCTGACGGAGGCTGCAGTTAGTTCACGACCACCAGCTCTGACTCATACTGTAAACATTATAGTTGCTTAAAAAATGACAATAAACTGAAGGAAGGAAACATTTGACCTTTGAAAGAATAAAAATCGACATTATGTTCAGACAGCATTTAGATTCTGTGTGGACCTTGAAGATCTTTGACCCCAAGACAAAGTGTAGCGTGTTTATTGGGGACTGCCTAGAAATGCAGTCCCCTATTATTATCCACCTGAAGAGGGTCTTACTCTTCCATCAACTTTAATGCGACCCGAACCACAACGTGTCCCCCCACAAATGTTGTATCAAAACAACCAGCTCGGCCTGGTGATGTATGCGATTACTTGTACTGGTGTTTCGAGTTACCATGGCGATGTAATTGGTAAAGATGCCATTTTTCACATGGAAAAACACTGACAGAACACGAACTACCACAGTGAGGTCACATGACCTAGAGAGCAAAGGTCTCTGAACAAAACTCTGATTAATTTTTAGAGTCATTTTGGACCAAGATGGCTGCCACAGCTATCTCAGAAAACTCAAAATTGACTATAAATCAGTAATTATTTGAGATATTGAGCTGAAATCCAGTATGGTCGTAGCTGAGAGCGAGTTGTTGGGGACTGCCTAGAACGGAAGCCACCTAATGCAAATCAAATTTTCAAGATTGCTAAAAGAAAACATTCGAAAACCTTTTGAAAAACCTTTGATAAAAGAGAAAAAAATATGATAACCCAGTTGTTTGAAAATATATTGAGCTGAAATTTGGGGTGGTAGTACCTGACAGTGATGCACAACATATTCTGAATTCAAACCAAAAAATGTTGTCAAATCATAATTTAAAAATGGCTGCAACGTGGCAGTCCCCATTAAAGCTTCTCCAGGAACTTTCAAGTTAGTGAAGTTCTTGTCTCAAAAATATGTAAACTATCAGAAAAGACAAGAACTATATTTAATGATAAGCTTTGGTCTAGGAGACTGTATTTATTCTACTGGATCTGAATAAATTGATAATATTAGGACAACTATAAAGAGATATATTTTAGTAATTTTGCCAACATCCAATAATCTAGACTTTACTACTAATTTAGTTGAATAGCCGATGCAGTAATTGTATACATATAATGCCATAAAACTTCACAATAAAAGTCTAAATAGATTCCTTTGATGAGTTATGAGAGGAGGCACCGAGATGTTATGAGTCAAAATTTCTCTTTGACCAGAAGAATTCAATATTTAATTATTATTTTTTTTGCATCTGTTTGTTAGTCTCTGAACTCATTGTTTCAGTGGTAGAGAGCACTTCCTAAAGTTGACCTTGTCCACATGTCTCAGAGGACAGATCAGAATGGATGGTGTCCCTTTGAAGATGCCTCAGGTTCCTGCCTTACAGGAAGTCAATGATGTCACAGTTACTCTGCCTGATTATCTGTCCATACTGCAGGAGACAGAGGTGAGTTAGCTCTCCTCCCTGTGTGGAATGAGCGCTTTACTTATGATTTTTTAAAATCTAACTTTCAAAATAGTGATCAGGATGAAGTGTCGGCACCTGTAAAGTCGTGTTCTTTACATGTACTATTGTTGTATCAGCAATAATGCCATAAAGGGCGAGTTTGAATCTTTTGAAGTGGGATTTTGTAGAATTGCTGTCAATGGTCAGTATCTTACCTGCAGTAGACAGCAGTCTCATACTAAAAGCCTGTTAGATTGAGGCCCGTCCCAGAACAGATCTTTACCAGCGTAATGGGAAGTAGAAATAAAACATCTGAAGAACATTTTAACACTGTTTCTGATAGAATAGGAGCATTTATCGTTTTTCAACAAAATCACAGAGTGGTTCATAAATTTTGTTTTAAAAATGTGTTTAATTATAGTTTTACTGTTCTTGTTTTATGAAACCTACCTGTTTTTTATTGAAGCACTTTGAAATGATGACGGCGTTAGGGGTCGAAATGACAGAATGGTCCTTTTTGATGTTTGTTCATGTGACAGTATGAATTCAGCTTGGAGAACTGGGTGCTAACTGGACTACAAAACGGGTTCACCATCCACCAGCAGCAACCTCAGCCCTCCTCCTCCTCCTCATCATCATCATCAGGACTTTTGCCTTCCTGTCCACCATACTGGATGATGTTCAGCAGTCCGCAGCAGAGCCGCCTGGCTAGCCGCCACAGCTCTGACTTCTGGGAGCCCAACCCTCGACAGCGCTCCAACAGCCTGAACCCTGCGGTCCTGCGCGCCAAGTTTACCATCTCAGACTCTGAGGAGGAAGGAGAGAACCCCACACAGGAGGTCAAGATGGATGCGTCAGAGAAAGCTGGCTCAGGGAGTGCTCGCAGCGCAGTTTTCTGTCAGAATGGTCGGTGGGAAACACAGAAAGCGTTTGTCCCTGACCTTTTGAGCCCCCTGTCCTGCCTGAGCAGCCTGCCTCACCAGCGCAGGAAGAACCTGCGTCAGTGTTCCCTTTCAGTGATGGACTGGACCCCACAGCAGGAGTTTGACACATTGAGCCGGACCCAGAGCTCCTCTTCACTCGGAGCTGCCAATACAGTCCACGCAACCACCAGTAATCAAAATCCACACAATATGGTAAGATATCAGCATGTTAATACGATGCAACAGATGATAACTCATATTTAGGTTGTTTATCCCCGATGATGAGATTTTCTCCTTTAATGCTTAATTAGTTTATTGCGATTTTAAGCACATTAGGATATAAAGCAGTAAAAACTGAACAGGAAAACGCAAAAATTTAGCTCTTATTCACTCATATACCCTGAACATAATTACATGATATTCATTTATGTACTCTTATTTTCACACAAATGTTTAAATAATAGTTTTAAATGAGAAAACATTATTGGTTTATATAAAGCCTGATTCCTTTTTATGACATTATGTTTAATAATTGTTCGTGATGCGTTAAGGGGACCTTTTTAAACCATTTTTTAAATTAAAAACATTAAAATAAATGATGTTTTTCTCCTATTTTTAATCAGAGTAAAGGAGAGTAAAAATGCAACAATCTAAAATCAAATCAGAAGAAGGTCTTTTTAACTTTTATTAGAATCACAGCCTTGTTGTGAATCCAAGGCTGTGTGGCAATTTGTTTTCTTATTAAAGTCTACTCTTTAATAAAAGATAATAAAAGACAAGTGACTGAAACACTGAAACACATTCATAATGTTAAAAAAATAAAAATATGAACAATAACTTAACCAGTAAATTAAAACAAAGTGTTTAAACGCTGGAGAACAAAAAGCTTCCACGGGTGCTGCAAAATGTCTAAAACAAACCAGCAGATGGTGTTGAATATTCACAAATCTTCCTTTAGTCATCACTAAAACGACTTTTATCTGAGCAAGCTGAGCACTTGGTTTTGAGATGGGCCTTCAAAACAAAAACTGACCCCACGCTATCCCATCATACATTAATCATACAGTAATACTCCAGTACCATGAACTGCTTTTATTCTGACTGGATCTGAGTTTATTCACTGAAAATAATGCACATACACAAAATCCAATAAAAATACTTGGATAACACAAGAAAGTGAAAACACTTATTTCTAGGGGTGCACCTATTGCAGTTTTCTGGCGATCTCTAAAAAGTCTGACCTGTCGATTCTGATTTTGGCCGATATGGATTTTGTTTTATAAGCAACACTGTCAGGTGTTATAAGGTCACAATGCACCTTCAGTTCTCCAATCTTATTTTATTGAAAAACATACCCTTAAACAATACGAACTTGTTGTAAATGGCCATGAGGTAGTGCTCTGAAATATTTATTTATTATTTCTTAACCTTTATTTAACCAGGCAAATCCCATTGAGATCACAGATCTCTTTTGCAAGGGAGGCCTGGCCCTGAAGGCAGCATAACATGCATGTTTTTGGTCTGTGGGAGGAAACCAGAGCACCTGAAGTAAACCCACGCAAGCACGAGAAGAACATGCAAATTCGACACACAGACCCCAAGTCCAACCAGGGATTGAACCCAGGACCTTCTTGCTGTGAGGCAACAGTGCTAACCACTGAGCCGTCGTGCTGCCAAAATTAATGAAGTTTAGACAATTGTTGTTAAAACTACAAAAAAAAAAAAAGAAGAAGATAAAATCGGTTTCTTATGTCGACCGATTAACGATAACCCAAAATTAAGGAAATCGGGGCTGATTTACCAGTGCACCCCTACTTATTTCCAGTGTGGTTCTGGTTTAACTAAAATAACTTTGGAAACACATTCATCACATCAGCGTTTAAAAAACAAAAGCACAGCTTTATTTTTTGTGCAGTGTGTAGAAACCATCCTGTTTTAATGTAACATCTAAAAAGGAACTAAAGACTGCCAGTGTGCCTCCATGCAGGTGACCCGTGGACAAACAACCTGTGTTTCTCATGAGTTACTACGAGGGCAGAATAAACCTCAGGGATCTACCGTGTTTTTCGACGTATAAGTCGCAGTTATTTTGCATAGATTTGTCAGTCTTATACGTCAAAGCGACTTAAATACGTTTTTATTTTCCACATTCATAACACAATTTTTGACTGACACTTTAAATTTAGAAGAACTGCAACAGCGAGTCTTCCAGTGCACGCTCGTTTCACTCAGCTGGTGCAGGCGGAGGAACGCTGGAGAGTTCACGGCTCCGTTCATGATGGATGGATGGATGAATGGATGGATGGATGAATGGATGGATGGATGGATGGATGGTTGGATAGATGGATGGCTGGCTGGATGGATGGATTTACATCTGTTAAGTTCCTGGCTAGAACCAATGCAGACATGTTCCTGTTTTTAGTATTCTACACTGCCTCGTAATCTAGCTGTTTTTTTCACAACTTTTCCTTTAATTATCCCTTTAATTACCATTTTATTTTTATTTGTAAAAAAACAAACAAAAAAAAACTTAAATTTGTATGCATCCTTTGTGATAGTCTATTGCTGCCCACTGTTGTCATCACTCTTTGTTAAAATCCAAGTCTCTCTTGTAAATGAGTCCTCATGGCTCAGTGGGACTAACCTGTTTAAATACAGGTTGAATAAATGGATGGATGGCACCATGCTGGCCAATTGACATGAAGTTGTTTTGACCATTAAATAAATGCATAATAAATGCGACTTATACGCCAAAGCGACATATATATGTTTTTTCCTTCTTCATGGTGATTTTTGAATGATGCGACTTATACGCCACAAAATACGGTACCTTCTCTCCTGAGCCAGTAAATCCACTCATCTAGGCGACACCACACAGGATCTCAAAGAATACCTCCAGCACAGCGCACACCCCTCTGAGTGTATTTATAGAGCGACAGGTACAGAGGGCACACATCTTCAAATGTCCTGTGGTTCTTGTATAATTGCCAGCCCTGTTAGTTGAAAGAGCAGATCAATTCTCTGCATCTAGATTTCTTTCCCCCCACTTCACATTTCTAAAATGCTTTCAGGGATCTGGGGTCTAAAAATAAACAGCGTAAAGTCAGGCAGGTTATTAAAGGCTGATGGGGATTAGAAAGAGCGAGTCGTCTTCTCAGCAAAGCTCAATGTTTGACTCCAGTCTGATGTCGGAACATTAACATCACGTTAAATGCTTGACTCTGATATTTATGATTTTTATTTATTTATTTACCATGTACACCTTCTGCTGTCTTTTAGATGCCTCGCAGGCCAGAGTCCAGAAGAACCCCGGACACCACCTCTGCTGTTGACTCATTTGCAGAGCTCCTGTCGGCCCTGAGCCCAGAGGAGAGGGAGCTGCTGGGGGCCGTCACTGCTCGAGGCTACCCCCTCCATACTGCTATCATCGCTCTGCAGAGGACAGGGCAGCAGACCCCAGATCAGGTTAGATCCAACAAAGTTCAGGTTCCAAGAGACAAACATTGGTTGGACAAAGCGGTACCACTTTACAATAAATATTTTATAGATACGTTATTAATTCCTCTATAAACAGTTTGTAAATCATTAGTAACTGCTTATTATGCATTAATTAAGGGTGACAGTAAGACAAAACTGACCAGTTTCTTGCCAAATAGTGAGCCAAATCTGTTCACCTATACAGAGTTGTTATATTAAACATTTCAGACTAAATTACTACCTTGTAAACACAATAAGCATTTGTAAACCAATTTTTTTTTTAGGATATAATATTGTAGATACTTATAATACAGTGATAAAGTACAATGTTAAATGCAAAACAAAATTAGGTTTACAAATGCTTATTATGCTCTCGAGGTAATAACTTAGTCTGAAATGTTTAATATAACAACTCTAGATGAAATGTATAGGTGAACAGATTTGGTTCACTATTTGGCAAGAAACTGTTCAGTTTTGTCTCACTGTCACCCTTAATTAATGCATAATAAGCAGTTATTAATTATTTATAAAGTGTTTATAGATTAATTAATAACATATCCATAAACTATTTATTATCCATCTATAAGGGGAGCCTTATTGTAAAGTGGTACAGACAAAGCTTTTTACAGCCTTTCTTTAATTGCCACATCAGCTTAAAACTTTTTGCACAATACTGTTTGTCTGCTGTTCATATTTTCTGTTTTTACTAATGTTAACAGTAGTTACCTTTATTACACCAGAAATTATTCGGTTTATCTTTTTATTATTGTTATTGTTGTAAGTTTAAATAAAAGATCAGATGATCTAAAAAATAGCAACAAAACTGCACCACGGGGCTGAGCTGTGGGTGGGCCCGAGGGTGAAACACAAATACAGAGCTACTTTAAGCCGGAATAAAAATAGAGCCCAGATTCCACAACTTGTTCCACATTATGTGTTTTCCCATGACATGAACTCCCCTTCGCTCAGAACAGAGTGCGACTCAGACAGCAGGAAAAACAGATGGTGGGGAAAATAAAAGAAGTTTCACCTGAGAACAAGAGAAGATCCACCAAAACAAACACAATCGTCATTTGAATGTCTTGATCGAGCTGCATTAACATAAAAAAATAAAATAAAATAAAATCCAGAATAAATATTGGTACACGTGAAATGAGGTGAAAGTTTGTTGAGTTAAAAGTTGAAGATATTTTTTATGGTTGCTTTTGGTTAAATTTGCACATTTTCAGTTCAACCACCAATTCACGGAGTGTGTTGTTGTGAGTGTGTGTTGTTGTTCTGGATACTGTGGTGTCACCGTAGCGCACACACACTGGATTTCACTGGATTAAAATCTGTTGCATTAATCTCAGAGAAAAACACTCAGCTCATTCAGAAACACAGAAGAAACCAGGCAGACTGAAGACATGTCTGATCAGACAACATGAAGGTTACTAAAAACTGTCCACATATTTAAAAGTACCGGATACACCATCCATCCATCCATCCATCCATCCATCCATCCATCCATCCATCCATCCATCCATCCATCCATCCATCCATCCATCCATCCATCCATCCATCCGTCTAAC